CAGTGAGTTCTGTTCTCCTGTAATCAGCCGGGTTCTGTTCCTCCGTCTGCGCCTCGTCCTCCGGCGGCTTTTCTCTCTTTATTTTGTTGAATCCCTTCTTTTCTGCAGGTTTTACTCAGCGTGTGTGTTTTAGTGTCCTTCAGATGGAAGGAAGGGATGGAATGTTGTCGTGGAAACGGCTCTGAGAAATCTCACTGTGTGTGTGTGTGTGTGTGTGTGTGTGTGTGTGTGTGTGTGTGTGTGTGTGTGTGTGTGTTCTGCAGGTGCAGAGGCTCTACCAGCAGGCCCTTCAGAAGCTGCCCCTCTGCGCTGCTCTGTGGAAAGATGTAATTACTGTCCTTAAACTCACAGACCACACACACACACAGACCACACACACACACAGACACACACACACAGACACACACACACACAGACACACACAGCACACACACACACAGTACACACAGGACACACACACACACACACACACACACACACAGACACACACACACACACACACACACAGACACACACAGACCACACAGCCAGACACCACAGACACACACACACACACACCACACACAGACTCACACACAGACACACACAGACACACACACACCACACACAGACACACACACACACACACAGACACACACACACACACACACAGACACACAGACACACACACAGACACACACACACACACACACAGACACACACACACACACCACACACAGACACCACACACTACACACACACACACACATACACACACACACACACACAGACACATACATACACAAACACACTCACACTCACACTCTCACACACACACACACACACACACACTACACACACACACATATACACACACACACACACACACTCACACACACACACTCACACACAGAGCAGACAGTAAACCAGGCCAGGATTTAACAGCTTTAACTATGAACCTCTGCTACTCTGGTACACTAGGTGGCGCCGTGTGTCTAGACAGGGAGGCAGAATTCTAGCCATTCACTGACAACAGCACAGACCACAGGCACAGTTAGCACAGTTAGCTGTTAATCTCTTATTATCCTCAACATGAGTGGCTGAAATGCTTGTCAAAGTTATGATAACTGCATAAGGAGAAGTTCAGATTTCAGCTGCCTGATTAAATAATGTAGTTTATTTATTTAATAAACCAAATCTAAAGCCCAATCTGGCAACCCTGGTTACATTAGACTTTTTGACATTTCTGAGAGGCTCGTCTGAAGTGTAGCACCTGTCTCAGTGTAACTGTCTCTCTCTCTGCTCTGTCTGTCACTCCCTCACTGTTTTCTCTCTCTCTCTCTCTCTATCTGCTCTCTCTCTCGGTCTCTCTCTTTTTCTTTTCTCTTTCTCTCTCTCTCTCTCTCTCTCTCTCTCTCTTTTTCTCTCTCTCTCTCTCTCTCTCTCTTTTTCTCTCTCTCTCTCTCTCTCTCTCTCTCTCTCTCTTTTTCTCTCTCTCTCTCTCTCTCTCTCTCTCTCTCTCTTTTTCTCTCTCTCTCTCTCTCTCTCTCTCTCTCTCTCTTTTTCTCTCTCTCTCTCTCTCTCTCTCTCTCTCTCAGTGGCTGCTGTTTGAAGCTGCAGGTGGGGGTAAAGCTGATTCGCTGAGGAAGCTGGTGTCAAAGTGCCAGGATGTTGGAGTGAGTCTCAGTGAGCTGCTCAGATTAGGCCCCGCCTCCTCAGACGCTCAGGTGGACCCGTGAGGCCCTTCAGTCTGCAGACACCCCCCTCCCCCCACAACCCCCCCCACCTGCACATCACTACCCAAACCCCCGCCCCCAACACATACCCCACCTCCCAAAACATACACCAGACCACTACCCCCACCCCCCACCCCTCCACCGGCCCCCCAGCTGCAGTAGGTAGAGCAGGAGGCTCTGACGTTGAGACGGTGGAGGAAAGAGGAAAAAAAAAACAGAACAGGGAGACGACCGTCCGTCCGCCCGTCTGTCCGTCTGTGTGTCTGCTGAAGAGTATGAACTCCGGCTCGGCCACAGTGGGGCGCTGTTCCACCGTGCCGTCCTCTACGTAAGTATGGAGCTGCTCTAAACAGCTGCTGCTCTTTCACTCCTTCCTTTCACTTTCTGTCCCGTGTGTTTGTTTTAGTTTGGCTCTTGTTTGGTCCTCCGCTCGGGGGGGGTCACGCTTAGCGGACTGAAGCGCAGCGACAGTATTTTATAGACGTTCAGCGTTTATTTTGTCTCTCGCTGTAAAACCGAATGACGGATCAGATTGACTCTTAATTTGGAGGGTGTTTTTTAAGGGTTTAAAACCAAGCGAAATTTTGTTGCCATGGATATGAATGGCTGCCAGAAGTATTGTACTGACCCCATCAGTGTCCACTGTATTTTTGGAGACTGCTACAGAGACTGCCAGACTCCTGGTCACTCCTGGTCACTCCGGGTCACTCGGGGTCACTCTCAGTGTCGCCTCAGTCGAGGAGCGATCAGAAGTAGATCACCTGTTTATGTGCAAAACTGTGTTT